GTCATTGGGGGGGCTCATCTCAGAGGTACCCGTTGCCCCAGGGGAGGCAGCAAGCCTGGGATAGAGGGGTGTATGTGGGAGAAACAGGCACCTGGAGTGGGGTGGTACAGCTCAGCAGGGCCGGCAGCCATGGGGATGCGTGACTGGCCTGCTGGCACCCTGGGCTCCCTGGCAGTGCCCTCGGTGGGCTTCCCCGTGGGGCCTTCGGACAGTGCAAAAGCGGGGCGCAAAGCAGTGGGAGATGTGGCCAAGTGCCATCACTGTCACGGCAGAGCTGTCGAGCTGCCTCTTCATCCCCAGGAGGACAAAGGCATTTTTGTGGGGCAATGTGCAGCCTCTGAAAGGTGTTCAGATTAGCAAGCAGAGGGCTGGATTTGTGGTACTTTGAGGTGGAGAAGCCATCGCTAAGCTGGGTGCTTCCCTGTGCGCACCGTTAGACTTTCCAGAGGCCCAACTACACCCCCTATGTGCAGCATTTTGCACAAAATGCCACCCTCTGCCAGTGCCAGGGTGGGCAGAGGCACATTTTGAGACCCACTGCTGGGTCTCAAGCAGAAGAGCAGAAGAAACCATTGCTGCTTGCTTCTGTGTTTCTTAGGGCTGCCTCTTTACAGGTGTCCAACTGCGTTTTGCTTGCTCAAACTCGTTGCCATCTGCAAAATGTAATTTCTAACTTTAGTAGTGTTCTGTCCAATTAATTTGTGGTGATACCAGGTCATACCAGTTGCTGCAAAGGGACAGATGACATTTGAGGTCTGCCTCATCAGAGGCAGCTCTCAAAAAAATAAAGGTTGTTGTGCTACTAAAAGGAAAGAGTAATGTTTTTTCACCATGTCATCAGTTTGATTTGAAATATGTAGGGAATTTGTAATGTTTCCTCTAAAATTACTCTGGAGAAAATGTAGTATAACTTTTTTTAACTTAGAATGCATATTGCACTGTTTTCTTTTCCCAATAGTGTTTGGAAGAGCAATACATGCCATAGCTCGTATTAGTGATGAATTTTGGTTTGACCCCATAGAAAAAGGTGTAAGTGAACTTGATTTATTGTGATTTAAAAATATTTCTTGGAAGCATAGTATTTATGTGTTGTTTTCCTACAGGTACCCTTCAGTCTGAGTTACATTCTCTCTCAGTTTCCTCCACTTTCAATATGGACAAATGCCATATTTTCTGTAATTGTAATTACGCAGATTGTATCATGGAAGATTCATTCCTATTCTGCCCCTAGTATTCTTCCATTTTTTGTTAGCCAAACTGAAGCTTGTCCAGGACATCCAGATTAATACCACGGGTTTTATTTCTGTTGTCATGGGTCAAAAGGTTTATGTTTTGTACCACATGAGAAGCAGCCTTTAAACAACATGTTTTTGTACCACTGTGACTCAACAGGAAGAATGCAGCCATTAATATGCCTCTGATTAATCAAACACAATTTCCAGCAGAATTAGGGTTTTCTCTAGAGGTTTCTGAGGTAAAAGTGATCAACTCTCCTTAACTTGCTGGGCGGCTGGAAAATCAGAAGTGGAGATCATTTCTCTTTATATCTGAAGAATTTTTGAGGTGCTAGTAGTGTTTTTGCTCATTTGTACATATCATGTGGATAGGTGTACGGGAAGATTGTTTTAGAATAAACTCCAGTCCTTCAAATGCCTCAAATGCAAGCTGAGCTTTAAGTATTCAGGTAACTCACACTTCAGGGCCACTTAAATGTCCGTACATTGGATTCCTATGTATTCTTGTATTATACCAGTGACTTCTCACCAGTAATAACGAAGGTGGTAAATTTGTACATGGTTGTATGCATAATGCATCTATATTTATTTTGACATGTAGACATTTAAAGGTTTTGTGGTTTAGGAATGGTACTGAAGCAAAGAGATGGCTTTTTTTTTGTTAAAGGTTCAATATGAAATAGTTTTCAGCGAATAAATTACCTATATTTTCAGCTTGCTTTAAGATCAGTGAATTCTTCAAGGTCAGCATACGCATATGTCTTCTTCTCATCTATGTTTTTTCAACATTACTGCTGGACAGCTGTGTCTCAGCCATGCCAGAAGGAAAAACAGTTGTCCCTTCCATGTAAATTGATAATTAAGGTACATTTTAATGAATTACTATGCACAGTTTTGTAGACAGCAAATTAGCCCGATTTCCAAATGAAATATAGGGGGAGGCTCATGTAGGCATGTGGAATGACTCTAAAGTCAAGCGCTTCTGAGCAATTCTGCAAAAGAAAGCATTGCTATTTAATTATGTTTAGAAGATGTACCTCCTGAGCTGCGCGCTGTGGTTCCGAGAGTTTGCACCAGCTTAATCTTGGGTGAAGAAATACCACATTTCTGCCTCTGCAATGTTTCTCCTATAGCCCTCAAAACCAGTATGAGGCAGGAGAGCTCTGACCAGTTGTTCAGCAAACAGATCTGTGGCCGCGTGTTGGGATAGTGGGTGAGGATGGCGAGGATCGGTATCTGCCGTCTCCATGTCTGCTTACAAAGCAGTTTGAGGAAGCCATAAAAGCAGGAGCTTGAGATAAACTGTGTGAAACTAGGGAAATAGTACTGCAAAATTGCTTGGTGAGTAACCTCTGCGCTGATTTGTATTTACTTTTGTTTACAGTCGGTTCTTCCTGTATTTAGATGTGTAAATGTGCTGGAAAGGAATGTAGAGAAATGCAGCATTTATACAAATATTAGTGACCATCACATAACTTTTCAGCTCCTCTGCAAACACGGTAGGTTACACATAAAGTGACTTTACAGAAACAGAAGCAGTTTAAAACAGCAGGGCAATGCAATATTTAGTGTAGTTATTAACTGAGTGTTATTGATGGAACATTATGCCAAACACTTTCAGTCTCTTCACATCATAATTTATATTTATCATGTGCATCACCTTGTTAAAATGAAGTTATGACAGGCTTTGTCACATGAACGTTCTTCAGTAATTTCTCTATTGAGATTTCCTAAAAGAACAATTCATACAAAAAAAAACCCATTTAAAATTACAGACTAGCATTGATTTTTGTTCGTATCCTTTTATACTTAGGTGTTGTAAAAACATATAATCTGACGTTTCAAGAATGTGATCCGTTGCAGGCTGTTTTTGCAAAGCACATGTGTCCAAACATACTTAAAGTCCATTCAAGGTAACGAATACAAAAATATTTTTTTCTCAAGGAAAAAAAAGCATACAGGAGGCAATACTGCTCTCGTAGTCGTTAACATAATCAAAATCTGATTGGGGCACAGTCAAAAATGGCAAAGCCCTAAATCTCCTAGTGCTTAATTTTTCACATTACAACTTCAGAAACTGAGATCACTCTGCCATTAATCCTAATCAGTCTGACCTTGAGAAGTGTGTAATGTATAACGTGAATTCACACCTTTGAGCAACTTTCGCCTATGACAGATAAAGCAGTGCGTTAATTTTATAGACAAAAGTGGTAAAAGTACTTTTTTTTTAATGCAGTAAGGCAAAGTTCTGCTTTGAAAAGCAGCTCCTGGAAGCATCCAAGACTTGGCTTGTCAGTGCGAGCAAAGGCAAAGAACAGTTAGGCTGCACTTTTCCTGACAGCATTTCTATTAAAAGTGTTTCTTGTGCACAGGAGCTCTTGTCACAATAATCAACCATTAAAGGTGTATAAAGATATCTCTGTATTGATATTACGTATTGTGTTTAGAAAAAAAGATTACAAAACTTTTAAAACTGCAAGCTTTTGAATAGAGATTACAAGATGCTGAGGTTTGCTCAGAATTGTGATATATACATATAGAAAGGTAGCAACAATATATATGTGTGTGTAAGACTGATTTGGCAGCATACACAGGCATTAAATATAACCAAATTTGCTTTTGTAATTACTAATTGTATTTTTAGATGCCTTATGTACCCATTGCTACATAAAGCAATCAAAATGATACAGCACACTTTAAGGGGTGCACATTTCAAAGGCAGTTTTTCAAGCAGTATTGCCAAGTAGCAATTGTAATTTCTAGTGTGAGTAACAAATGCTAGCTAGTAATTTGTGGCAGGTAAAATTATTTTAATGTTGAATGAAAATTTTATAGGCTGCTGGCTGATATAATGATTCACTTTCCGACCAGTCAAGAAGAAGTCACCTTATCGGTTACTCCAATGAAAGTTTGTTTCAAGAGTTACACCGAGGAAGACACTGGTAAGGAAATTCAAAATACGAAACAATACTGGGACTTGAAAACAGGTGAACTAAAGGAATAATAACTATTGCAACATAAACAGAGTATGCATTTAATGGCTGAATGAGATTTTTAGGAGAGGGAACATTATATAGAGAGATTCTAAGTCATACTGCCACCCTCTGGTTTTAATATATTTTAAGAAAATATGTTTTTAAGAACATTTTCCTGTTATCAGTGGCAGATACCAGACTGAGCAGCCAATTGAAATAAATTATGCCACTTGCTGCAGGCTTGAACAGAGGTAATTACTGTGCTGCAAGAGCAGAAGCATGGCAACAGGAAAAAGGAGATAATTTTATGTTATGTTTTAAAAATAACTATTTAAATCTGAATACCATAATTATAGAATTGATATCATTACGGAGTATATTTTAGTATAAGGGCCATGCAGTGTGTTAGCTGGTCTGACACTGTTATCCCGCACACTGCCATTTTCACATCTCCATCTGAGATGGAGAACCATCTAGATTCTTGGGGTGTGACTCAAACTAATTTTAAAGATACAATTGTGTTTTTGAACTATAGGTTCTTGTATATCATATAATAAAGGGATGCTTTTCATACTTGCTTATGACCAAAGCCGAGGATAATGACCTAGAAAAAGATGACTGCCTAGAGCGTAGGGGTGGAGGTTGTACTGAGAACAGGCTAAAGCAGCGGCGAGCAAGGATCAAGTGGTGGAGACTGGAGTGAAGCAGGGAAGAAATTACTGGCAATAAAAAGACACTAAAAAGAATACGTTTTGAAAGACAAATTTTGTTAGCTTAGAAACATACACTTGCAAGGGTTATTTTAAGAAAGAAAGTGAAAAAAATAGTTGGTAAAAATCTAACGAGATACCAAACCCCCCAAACAGTCAAGGAGAAAAAGGAGGAATTGCAAGCATTGTTCTTGTGCAGCATGTGATGCAATATACTGCCTGCAGCAAGTGTTCTGTATACACTGAAACAAACCGTGGCCTTTGAACATAGCACCTGCCCGTGGCTTGGGCTCTCCGCATTCAGGTGTAATTTTCAAAGAAAGGAATTACAGCTTCTGCCTAGACTTGTTTTCATTTGCATGTGGTGGGCTCTGCCTTGCAGAAGGCAGCGGTTACGTTACAAGCGTGTACTTCTGCAGTTTTCAGGAGCTTTACGAGTATATTTGAACACGCAAGGGGGCCTTGCTGACAGCTGAGAGAAAAAAAACAAACCTCTTGAGCAGAGAAACAGAAGACTGGGAACAGTTTGTAATACTTTGTCAGCAGCCTGGCTTTGGAAGAGAACGGGATAGGTGTGTGCTGTTCAAGCTGCTGTAGAATTTTTCTGAATGCCCCTGAGACTGTAGTGCATCATGGAAGTACCCTCTTTCTTTCTTTTCTTGCACCTAATAACAACTACAGACTAATCTAATGATAACAAGCAACAATTGAATACCTGAAACTGAAGAGCCAATTTCCTGTTGCCAGTTACGTATCAGGAAAAGACTATAATTTAAAACAAAGAACCTAAGTCCACCTTCATTGTCCTCTGATGATTGTTGGCAATTATGATTAATCTGTTAAAGTCATGCGGCATTTTCATCTTCCCATCCATGCAACAATAAGCAGCCAGTAATACTGTTTGTGATGAATGCCTGTCGGCAAAGCAGAGTTGCAAGAATGACAACAGGGATCGGGTTAGATCACACAGTGGAACATAAAATTGGTTCTGATAAAAGCCATTTAAATCTACATACTATACTGTAAATAACTGGAGGCTTTTACTTAATTATGAAATACATTTAGATAAACATTTATTACTGGTAGTCACTATGAAAATACAATTATTTGTTCAAATGATGCCAATGTCAAAACCTTATGGTTATAATCATAGTTTTGTTGAGTTCAACTTCACTTCTTTGAGTCCTTGACTTTCTTCTTACTTTAAACAGATTTTTCAAAGACAATGCTGACTGAAATACAACTAAATCCAGCTGAATTTGACTACTTTCAAGTTGGAGTAGATTCTGAAGTGACGTTTTGCCTTAAAGAACTGAGGGTAAAGCAAGAATTTCTCTTGAAAATAAAACATTTCCCGTTCATTTGCATGACTTGCCCAGGCCAATGCAGAGTGGTCCCTGCAGAGTGGCCCCAGGAAGTGCCCACCTGACCAGCAGCAGTATTTCACCAGCTGGTTGAGGATTAGCTTTAGAATCCCTCCCAGTAGCCTTTGAAAGGCAAGCAAAACATTTTTAAAACAAAAATGTAGTTTCAGTGCTGGGCAGACACACAGTAACTGTGGCCATGGAAGTTCCACATGCAGAAGCTTCTTTGGCAAAGCTCCAGGCAGGGACGCAAGAAATGTGTTCTAGAAGCAGTAGGCTTTTACCCTCTTTCTGTCCGTAAACAGCAGCTGGGATAAACTTACATTCTAATGCTTATCTGCTGGTTTTAAAACAGCACTTAACCACCCACCCTTTCTTTTCAGGGACTACTAGCATTTTCAGAAGCTACCAGTGCTCCAGTCTCAATCCATTTCGACGTATCTGGAAAGTACGTTTTGGAACACACCTACTGCAGTTACAGCTCTACAGTCGGGTTCTGTCTGCAGCTTACTCAGTGAATATTTAACTGGAACAGTAAAATAGATCTTCATTTTGTACCAAAAGCTTTATTTCTAATCTGCGATACAGGGTTAAGTAGTTTGTTATTATGCGTAAAGATTTTAAGATGGGCACCAGCATTACTAAGCTAGCCACGCTGAGTAATGGGCACCTGTGTGTTACCTGGGCACTTCAGGTTCTCAGTCTGATGCATGCAGTGGTTTTATTTAGCAGTCTAAAGAAACAACACATTTTCTGTTTAAAATATAATTTTAACAGTTACGTATTTAAAACTATAATTTGACTAAGTATAATAGTGTGTAGCATTTGCTCATTGGTGCATTTCAATCTGTAACCAGAAGCCATCGCATGTACTTCAGCAGCAAATATATTAGATTTTTCAGCTTCTCAGAGGAGGCACTTTTTAATCTTTATGTACAGAACTGCATGAGCTGTGTTTCCTCCCACAATGTGGGTAATTATGCATGCTGTTTAAGTCTCTGAATATGTGTGTTTAGACCAATTGCTTTCAGCATTGAAGACATGGTGCTGGAAGCCAGCTTTATTTTGGCTACCTTGTCTGACATCGAAAAGGAGACGGCTTCCCAGCAGCCTCCCTGCTTTTCACAGCACCAGGAAAGGTAACGCTGGCTTCAGGGGCAGGTGAGGGAGGCAGAGTGCCATAAGAGGATGGGAAATTAAAGTTTTCCGGCCACGTCGGATTTAAGATGGGAAGGAAACAATCTGCTCATTCTTGTGGGGGATTGGTGAGCATTGTACAGCTCCTGGAGTCTTTGCTCATAGGAAAATCGTGAACCAGACAGGTTCAGGAACATCCTAGTGTCACGCACAGCAAGAAAACCTGGTGCAAGAGCGAACGCTCTGTACTAGCTTCTGCTTTATCTCCACAGGGTGCTGTTGTTGGGAGGGGAAAGGAAGATACTTGTTGAGAATCTAAAGCCATAATGCTTTTCATTAACAGAAGACAAAGACATTCAAACAAAACCACGTAAAAGCCAGTTACTAACCTGACCTCCTCTCTCCAATCCAGCTCAAAGACACATATGGGTAAATCCAAAAAAACCTCCCTGGATAAAGATAGCAACACAGCAGTAGTTGCTTCCAAAAAGCCACAGTGGAATGGAAACGCACTGAATGCGGAGTCAGCGAAACCCACCAGTCCTCTGGCAGAACGAGAGATTAAAAGTATTCCCAGGGTCACCAAGAAAGATAGGACAGGCACAGAAGGAACAGCCACGACCGCAGCCAAGGACCATGCCACGCCAGGAGGAGAGGCAGCAGCATCTCGTTATCAGGAGGTAAGGTGGCTCCTGATCGTACTTATAGTGGAGACCTTAGCTGGTGCTGAGCTCAACACTACCTCTACACTCAGTTCTGCACATGGCGTTTCACCAGAACCGGCTTTCACAGCAGCACAACTGACAAAAACCTCCACTACCATCTTTAATGCTGGAAGTCTTTGCCGACAGCAGGTGTATCTTACTAGGAAATGCTGTAGACTAATAAAGATTTTAAAGCGGCAAAAGCTTCAGAAAAAATTAACCCCCAAATTCTGTATCACACACAGTCTCTTACTTCTATAAATATTGTATTTTCCAGTTTCATTCATTATTTTTTGGAGCAGTTTCTTGTAAGGAGCAGGCTGCCAGCAGTCACATCTTCCACAGTTTGGCAACAGCTAGCGACACCGAAGAGGATTTTGGCAACGTGCAGAGCTCCCAAGTTCTGTAGGAACATGAAGCCTTTGAATCCAAGACGAGACTGTTGGGGATTGCCTTGGAAGATAGAAGTATGTTTGACATGGTAATTGTAGAGCTGTTTCTAGTTTCAGACTATGGTCTAATTGCAGTTCTTTAGCAAGTTAGAACTCAACAGAAACTATTTGTATTCTGAGCTTGTGTGGTAAACTGCAGTTCATCAGCACCTATTCGGGCAGTTTGGAAAGTGGGAATCCTACTCAAATGTTGCCTGGTTTTTGCAAGCCAGATACACAAAAAGGACAAAACCTGCCTCAGTAGAGAGTACGGTACCATTTCCTGCTGTGTCAGTACAGGTTAAACATTTACGCACCATTTATGTTAACCACCAGCACAAGTCCTTCTAAAACTGTTTGCTGCTGTCATAATGCAATGTAAGTTTAAGTCACGATTGACTCAGTTGAGGCGTGTGTGTTACATATTCTGTAGGTACGCTGCTTGGGAAGTTCAGCTCTCCGCTATGTTCTCAGTAGAGCATTCAAACTGCGTTATCGCTTTGGGCAAATCGAGCTGCTGTTGTAAAGTTTTAAGTACTGGAAAACCAAACTCATCCGCTCCCACTTAACTGAATAGACAAAGTTGTCAGAGAAATGCATTTAAATAAAAGACGTGATGTTTGAAAGCCTGAGTGGAGGAGGCCTTTGTGTTTCAGACTTGCACGATGCTCCTCCCTCTCCCAGCCTCTCAGTTCAAAGAGGGATTTGAGAGCACCACGAAGGCCTGAACGAGAGCCCGACACCCCAGGCAGCGGTGGCTGCGCATCTCTGCGCCACCCGTGGCATCGCTGCATTAACAGACAGAAGGTTTGCAGTCAACTTTACTTTAAAAACCATGTTTTAGTATAAATACTATATTTATTAAATATCTTTACAATTCATTTAAATGTATTTACAGAACTATTCCTGCATAAGTTATACCTCAGACATGAAATTCACATAATTGCCTCTTAGGTAAGCATAGATGATAGTCTCATTTTAACAACAACAAAAAAGCATCCTCATTAGATACAGACTCAAGATTTGCTTCATTATTTCAGCTATCTTTGTAAGAAACTACTTCATACAGTCAGTTTCTACACACACCATCTGGTTTTTCCCCTGGAGAAGGGATGTCCGTTACCAAGAGAGGGAGATCCCATCACAACATCGCTCGCATCCTTGCTAGACCTTCGCCTCCCCCTTCTCCCTGACTCAGTCCTGTCTGGTCCCAAGATCTGGGGTTGGTTTGGGGGTTTTTTGGCCATACCTTCTTCACAAAGTACATTTAGAGGGAAACTGTATGCCGCAGGTCTCCCAAAGATAGCCATACAAGTAGCGAGGAACCACAGTTTTTCCAATTCACCACACCTTAGCCCTGTTTTACCCAAAAACTGGTCACGCTGCTGCGGAAACCCCAGCTCCTGCCAGTGCTGTGACACGGTTACTGGTGTACAGAACTCTTCCTTTTCCTTACATCACTGCTCCCAACCACCCGTCCCACACACAAACTCTCTCCGCATCAGCTGAAAGCCAGCCCGTGCTCTGCTCACCCACGCTTCCATTTCACAGAACACCTTTCTGGTGCATCCCTCTCATGAATAGTCGCAATAATCCAATTCCGAGGAAGTGTTACTGCTTCATGCATCGGTTAAAATTATTCTGATAGTATGGGCCCTGTCATTTCCCTTTCCACAATTTTTTTTTTGTGCGCAGACAGCTTAAGTTCATAGGAAGAAATTAGGTTTGATATGTTTAGAGTGCACATCTTAAAAAAAAAAAAAACAAAAACAATCAAGCATGTGATAAAAATATCAATTCTTTATAATACAGTATTGCTTTATAAACAGATGGAAAAGCTATAAGCTTTACTGGTCTTTGGTGTGTCCGGTGAGGGATAAACTCATGATTTGTAAATCAAAATCCAAATTTGTTCTTTATTTAAAAAAAAAAAAATCACAATGTGATATGAGGCAAATGGCTTTGTAGATACTGCTCAGCTACGAACGGCTTTACCACGGAGCGCGAGGCTTGGCGTCACACCACTGTCAGCTTCCGAGAAGGCGACCGAGTCTCTCCGCTCAGGGATCACGGAGCCATGCAACACCGCACGCGGGGGTAAGCACCTTCGCCGTACTCCTGTCTGATCCGCAAACGTCTCCCAGTGGATAGTTCTGGAAAGTGTTGCGGGGGGGAAGGGGAATAATGAGGGCTGGGGAACGAGCGTGCCGAGAGCGAGGGGTCAGAGTGCGACACAGTCCAGGTCTGCAGGGGCACGGCTGTAAGGGACATTCAAGGGAGAGAATAATTGATCAAATCTGCTCTAATCGAGAAGCGCGATAGTAAATACTGGAGAATAAAATGTAAAGACACTCGGATTTGAGAGAGAACCCCCCTCCCAAATGCTAGAAACGAAGCCCTGTACTGCAGCGTGAATACATTCCTCCTAACGAGACAGCTAGGTACAGCTTGTTCAAATGTAAAAAACAACAAGGACCGACAAGTTGTGCAAAGTTATCCACCACACACTGCTCCATGGATGGCAAACCAATTCGTTGTTCGGCGTCACTATAATCCTCCCCGTACCCTCACCAAAATAGTATTTTGGTCAAGTTAGGGTAGTTAAGGCATTTTGACAAGTAATTACAAGGTGATTTAAAATAGATAGTTAACGTTATGCCAATTTAGGAATAGCAGATAAATTACCGAAGAGCTTCCAAATTAATCACTTATTCTTATTATAAATGAAATGCCTGTTACAAGCATGATGCATTGAAATATAGTAAAATGACATGTACATGGTACATGTTAAATGATCTTAAATAAAAGCTTGACATAGTTACGCAAATATACAGTACAAGTCCACAAAAATTCTTTAAACAAGTTGAGGTAACCTCAAACTTAAACAGTTTTAATACAATAAACCAGGTAGTAAAAATCTCCTTTTGAGAGCAGGTAAGATTACTTACTGACCAAGTTTAACTGCACTCACCTAAACAGCAACATTACCCGACTTTTTATATATAAAAACATGGCTTTAATTTATTTCTACATACTTTTCTACCAGCAAAAAAGTTAATGAAAAACTGACCAAAAATATATATATCTTTACAGCTATCGGCTTTTTGTACGAACCTCAGGAAAGAAAAGGAAAGCTTGCCAGAAGGGGGGGAACAAGTGTGAGCTACTGTAATTCAAAAGGAAATGTAATATTGCAAAGTGGCTGTTAGATAACTGTAAACATCATTAAGGTTCATTCCGAAAACCCTAAACTTTAGTTACTGAAATGTAAGCTTCACTGATTATTCGTTAATAGTTTCCATTTACCTACTTGCTGCTGCTGCCACAGCGTAAGCGAAGAGGTGCTTGTTGGAGTCAGAGATAAAGATCAACTGGACTCAAATTGGTGCTGCGTATTCTGTTCTACACAAGCGAGAGTGGCAATTATTGACACAAATTATGTTTCATTAACAACAGAATTACCTATCAAAAGTGAAGATGCTCGGAGCTGAGGACAACCTGTTCTTTGTGCAACCTCCCACTGTAGCATTTACATCATCCCGCGCCGGTGAGGCGCGTTAAAATGCTGAAAAGACCTCAACTTCGGCCAGCTCGGCTTTTTGAGACCGAGTTAAAATTTTTGTCTTTTTTTAAAAAAATAGTAATTATCCACAGCCAAAACATCCAGATAGCAGGCCCATTACGGACAAATGATCTGCAGAACTCTTAAGATCACAGTTAAGCACCTGAAATCACAAAACACATTTGCATCCATATAACTTGAACTAAGTATGTTTTTTGAAATTTTGTACTAGAAAAGGCTCCTAGGCTGACACCATGGATGGCAAGAGCAGAATGTTTACAGCAGTTATAAACCTCCTGAAAACCGGAGCTTAGAAACACGAAACCTCAGCTACCACTGTAACAAGACTATGCGTGTGAAACTGTGTCCTGCAACACACCCTTTAATGAAGAGTAAATAGAGTAATATGCCCTCGCGTAGAGGTTTTATCTATTGAATCTAGTTTGAAAGATAAGCCAATCCTACTCCTTTGAAAGTCACATTTCAAACGCGGTAACGACGTGGGATTGATCCTCCCCCTGTCAAGGACAATGACTAAGCTCTGAAAGACATGCTTCAAGCCTTGAGCTTCTTCATTTCTTGCTGGCAGACAAAGACCAGTGTAGTACGAGAGTGGTTCTTAACAAGGATTTCCATTGCAGCGGGCAACGAGCTCGAGAATCAGCTGTTGAGATCAGCTGCGAAGGAAGAAAGCAATCCTGCCAGCAGGAAACCGTACGTGTGAAGCTAGGAGCTCGGGGATAAGGAAAATGTCAGAAGCTGACGCTCCAGGCAGCTCAGTCTGTATACTCGGCTACAATAGAAAGAAGGACGGTGATGTCATCTGGTTTCCCCCCTGTAATAGAAGAAAAATAAAACTATTTCATCAAACCACAGCGGGTCATTTTCTTATAATCTGTGACATTCCCCAAGTGGAAAGCTCTTTAAAAAATAGTTTAAATATTCAAGAACAGTTTGTGTAGACACAAGAACTCTGCTTCCTCCACCTCCTTTTGAAAATAATACCTGAGGGTAGCTGTGACATTTAACACAGCAAAAAAGCGCTCTCCTTGTAAGCTATAGCGAGATCACAAACCACTAGAAGGAGTGCAAACCTTGAACATCGTTAGCCGGTAGAGCAGAAAACCTGTTTTCTAGCTGACTATTTAATAAACGTACAAAAAACCTGATACTGCTTTGTAACAATCAAGCTGCAGTAAAAAGGCAGTATCTTCTCAGGAATCTCTACTGTAAATCAAACAGCTCTTGAGCATCTGCTCCAGCCCTGTATTACTGCCTATCTTTCTAAAAGCTATTTCACATTTTTAGTAGTCACTTCTCAGACCTCAAACGCTAGAGCGATACACTCAAATCCTAGAGAAAAAGCTCAAAAAGAGGTATTTTATCATGTAGGAAGTCAAACGAGTCCTTTGGACTCAGGAGATCTGCAGCTTCATTACTGAATGACTGAGCTTGGTACAACACGGAGCCCAAGCTATCGGCAAGCTGAGACAAGTATTGTCCCTACCTTTAGGAAAGGCACTTAAGGGTCTTGCCCTCCTGATATAGACAGGGCAAGAACATCTTTACAAGCAGAATTGTATTTATTTATTTCTTTAAATTAAAAAAACAAAACCCAGAAAGGTGTTTGATAAGACTCTGAACTCTGCCAAGTGTTAGTATCTTTTGAGAGCACAGGAAATAGAACCAACGGAGAAATCAGGACGGGGAGGCTAATGGTACAAGGGTGAGAAATTTCAGAGAAAAGAAAAAAAGAAAAAACCACCAAAGAGTGGGCAGAATCTCAGCTAAAAAGCATTGATAATAGAAGACCTTAAAAAAAACCCCAAACCCACACTCTCACACCACCACCCACACACCCAAACCCAAGGGACAGGTCAAGTACAGTTTTCCCAAGAGCCTGGAGAACTCGTGTCAGGCAGGATTCCTGGGGCAGGAGTGTACATATTAGATTTAAAAAAAAAAAATAAAAAAATCAGCATGCTGTGTTCTCGGCCTTCCAGCTGCTTCCCCACAGGCGGCTTCTGATCAGCCGGGGCCTGGGATGACCTGCGTCAGGAGCTGGGGCCCGTGCCAAACCCAGCGCTGGCTTGGCACTCTGCTGCCAACCACATTTCTTAATGCTCTGTTTTCCTATCTCATTTTGGAACAACAGAGCTTCATTGCGCTTAAGATTTCTCAAAGATAGCAGGAGTGGGAGGAGGAGAAAGAAAAAAAAAATCTTACCTCTCACATTCAATCCATTGTCACATGCAAACTGTGCAAACGGCGACATGTAAGTGGGATCATACGCCAGCTCGTGAGCTTGCTCAGCAATACTTCTTGCAGTCTGCTGTATACTCTCATAGTTGGAGTTCTAAATTCATGAGGGGGAAAAAAAAAAGTTTATTCGTACAAGAAAGTCTACCAGCAGTTGTTTTGCTGATGCCTGTCAGTTTTGTAGGTCCCTGACTGCCAGACCCGTCTCACAGATTAGGGCATTAGTTATCCCTTTCTCTTCCACGGAACCCTCACTGTCCGTTAGGCTTTATAAATTTGGGTTAGAACTGCAAATCTTCACAACTCTATTCCCTAGCAGCAGCTGCAAGACTTGGTTTTGGAGGATTTGTAGAATTTAGAAATTTAGAAGACTAATACTCAAACTAAATAGCCTCACCAGAGGGAAGCAGGGAATTTGACAGTTAAACTAACAGTTCGCACCGAGCCATCCTTCCCTCACAGAGGAAGCTCTGTGGAAGTAATTACGTTTTACCTTCAATAGGAAGTCGTACTTCTCTGCCCCTCTTACCCAAATCTACAAAAGCACGCTTCTCTCCCTTGGGGAGAAGGGGCAATTTAAGAGTTAGATGAGAAAAAATTTATTGAGCATGCAAACTTTCTATGGACTGTATTTGAAGTGCCTTCCCCCCCGCCCCCCACTGTTTCAGTAACTCTGCTGCTTTACTCCAAGACTCTTCTCACTCAAGCCAACATGACAACCACCATTCTTTTTGTTTGTAACTATTTTAAACCGTTTGTCATTTTAAGAATCTTCCCCGCAGTTTGGGGAATCAGTGGGCATTTAGACAATTAACTTTTGGCTGAACTTCACAGGGAACTTCAGTGCCTTTCCGGAACACGCCAAAAGATGGAGCTCAGTTTTCTTCCACAAGGGAATTCCTTCTCCAGCCTCCGCTCAGGCTACCCTCACCTCTGCGCAGCAACAGGAAGGTGGGAGTACAGCAGAGACATGAGCTGGCTGTAGCATAAGGAACAGCCATGCAGGTTAGCGCCCAGCCCACCAGGCCCTTCCAAACCACCACGGCATGCGGATACATCCTTCGCTAACTGGCTTAGAGCCTCTGTGACAGCTTGGACTCATTTTCCATTTCACAGCACAGCTATACGCTCCTCAGTTTCAGACTGAATACTGCACCGAGGGGAGAGGGATAGTGGAGACTCCAGAGAGGGGAAAAGAGAGTTGGTGGATGTACAGAGGCCTCTTGGACATTTTGTCTGTAAGGACCCGTTCTCTGTCTGACACCACCTTTCAGTTAATGTAGCTGCAGGATAAGAGCAGGCAATTTTTTTTTTTTTTTAAAACCACACTGTAATTCTACATGTTAACCTTATTTGCATTTCATAACACCAAAAGAGTTTCCCTAGGGAGGTTATACATATTGATACCTCCTAAGTATACTTCCCTTTCTGTAAGTAAGTAGCCTTAAGATACATGTTCTCATCCAAATTAAAATATTTTAATGTATTTTTACTACTTAAAAAGGATGTTTGTGGTCACTAACCTGGAAAAGTTGCCATAATTTTTTTTTTTTTTTTTTACAGAACAGTAAAGATTTCAAGTACACACAACCCACAATTCAGACAGCCTGTACTGCTATACGATTACTGTTTTATAAGCCTTCAGAAAAGCTTCAAATTATTTTTAAATACACACCTCACCCCTTCAAATAACCCATAATTTCATGTACATAATCTACAACCTGCAAGTAGAGATAAAATACAATGTGTGAGCTGCCAGCCAAGGGCGGTGGCTACTCCTGAACATCTTCCTCTTTCTCCTCTCCCGGCCCATCACCAGTGACAAGGTACCAGCTGCTACTCAGGAAATTTATGCCCAAGCTGCTGCTGCTGGATTCAGCCTGGCTGCAGATCCGAGAGACGCTGGGGTCAGTGTCCCCTTCTGCTGCTCACATGCGGTATTAACTGAAAAGTCTCTAAAGGACAGCACTTTGTGGTGGGGCTTTTACAGAAAATACAAAAGTTACGTGCATAAAAAGTAACGGTAGTAACCATGAGGGATAACCAGTGCAAAAAGATGTGAGGTTCAGAATACGCACGCTTACCTTCAGCTTTTTTAACTCCTGCAGAATCATGTAGTCAGGCATGTTGTCAAACAGTCCGTCTGTTGCAGTCAAAATAATGTCTCCGAGTTGGACATCAAAGGAAGTACTATCAGCAGCATCAGGGCTGTGAAGATGACAGATAAATTAAACAAGAAGGACTCCAGCTTTCACTAAGACACCAAGCAATGGCAAACTAGCATATCAACAGTTTTTGTAATTCACTACTGTTATGTGTTTTCCTGCAAAAGAAAGAAATAATCACTAACTGTGGAGCTTTTGCACCAGGATGGCTTGTCAAGAAAGCTACAACAGAAGAAATGTGATTGCAAACAGGTAATGTTCCAGCTATTACACAAAGGATTTGCATTTAAAATTCCCAGATGAACAATCCTGCAATCTAATCTGCTTCGCAAGTGTATCTCCATGGAAACCATTAAGTAGAATGGCAGCTCAGGGCTTCCTTCTCGCTCCCCTTAAATATGTAAGAGAGCTTTACTTGAAAGGACAATTCATAATAGGAACGGCCAAAACACTTAAGGATTCTGAATCACTTTCTAATGCAATGGAATATGAAACACGTCTGGAAATCACCACCAGGAGACTGTAGCCAATTGGTCTACTTATGTCTAATATATTACACAACAGCAAGAGGAGAAAATATCTATTTTGGCCATGAACATTGCTGCAAAATCTGATTCTCAGAAGCAGCATAATAACAAACATTTTTAAACGTTCTTCAGGGATCTTGAAAAGGGAGAAACTGCTGCATCCCATGCCATCTGTCTATGCTAAAAAGCAGAAGAGCTGCTTTGCTCAACTGATTTGTAGCTTTGGGAAGGTTAATAGAGCTAAGATTGCCTGCCTATTCCCATGTACAGCCAAATTTAACATTTAACTGGGACAACAAATGAAAAAAAGTAGTACTGGAGAAGCATTCAGACAACACACATGAGTACTAATTAACATCAAGAACAGTGCAGAAACTAGCCAGAAAGCTATAATCATGATTCAGAACTGAAGTGTGGGAGCTCATTTATCTTATGCTTTCCTTATTACGTGATGACTCAGATTACTTTGCTTTCCTGGCTTCCACTGGACATTATCAATTATCCTTGTGCTTTTTGGTTTTGGTCTTCCCATGGATAACATAGAACGTCAGAAAAATCAAGATTTTTCTAGTTCTGGAATTTCAAACAATCATTTAATTTTAGTCTAATAAAGAGGTTAGATTATTTAAGGTTCTCATTTCAGAGTTCTACACCAGCTTCCTCTCTGCAGTCTTATGATGAAGTAATAATAAAACCACATGCAAGAATGGTCAGGAGTTTCAACAACTTAACCACGATGCTCAGAGAGCGCTATTTTGGCATTAAAAGTTAGAATATCAAGGCCGATGCAGTATCAAAAACATCAGATGCCTACTGCATTCTCCGTATACTATGGTCATTCTTTGAAGATCCCTTTATCACCCTCCTGTATTCAGAAGGGGCATATCACTTTAATGAGTGTATAACCATTGATTTGAGTGCTGTATTTTAAAGACATATTTGAAAGCTGATTTTTAAAAATTTATTTTATCTTACTGGTGAGACTTCACAAAGTCAGAGGATGGATCAGCCTGACATTCGTAGGGGAAAACACAAGTACAAGTATGCCTTTGAAACGACTCATTCCTGTGAACAGATTGTCCTTTCCTAATACTCTCATTTTCCAGCTTGATGTTCCGCCAAACAGTTTTTTTGCTCGTTTTGGTCAAATACAATATGCTGCGGGAAACACAGCTATTTGGAAACACAAGTCACAGTCACATGTCCCTCTGCTCTAGTCTCCAAGTACTTGCTACCTCACTGCCAAAATATCTAAATTAGCGTACTCCAAACCAGTCTCAAGAGAGCACAGACAGTGACTGGGAATGAAAGCCACTGATAAGACAAGCCACTCATGCAGGGTGACCGGTGCATACACCGGCTGCAGTCTTATTGCAGCAGCTTTATTGAGTAACATCTTTCCATGGATCAGAACACGCCTAGCGCACACCACAGACTGTGGGAATATGCCACCATCAACAAATATTCATTAGCCCAATAAATTTGGACTGCGCAACAGCGTACAAAATGCGTTAACTACAAGGTGAGAAATGTTCATGTTCTCTGAAGACGGGGACAGTTATAAGACCCTTTGATTGGATACGTGCTTAAATCCCATGCGCTACGATGCACTGTACAAAGAGCACCGGAGTAGCAAAACTGCAACACTTTGGGAGCTGATCACATACAGATAAAAATTTAAGATCCTCTCCCATCTTACCTGTCACTTAAGACAACCCCTTCTGCTTCTGGTGGAGCTATTGACAGTTGGAACGGAGTGTTGAAGTAATGCTGTTGCTCATCAGATCGATGTACTACTTCTCCTCCCCTGACTACCAAAAATCCAGAATCTCCCAAGTTGGCTGTATGTAAACGATGACTTGTTCTGTCCAGAACTACTATACAAGCTGTACTGCTTCCTGGAAGCAAAAAGAACACAGGAACTGGAGTTAGCCTTATAGAAATTGTTCATTCTCTCACTGATTTAATTCATAGTCCAATTATTCAAATATTTATCAAAGCATACAAATCAAGAGAAATAGAAATACTCAATAATACCAAATTAATATACACTAAAACCAGCAAAATGACAGAAATCTTTGCAAGACAAACTATGATTTTTTTTTTTAATAGAACTTACTTTTCTTGCTTCGATTTTGGTAAACACATTATGCGACAAATACTGTTTTGTTCCACTTTATTTACAGTTTTCCATCCCAACATAAGTCAGCACATTCTGCTATAGGACTGGATTTACAGAAGTCACATAAAATACTGAAATTCCAAAATCATTGAGATAATAGAATTCTAGTAGTATCCACACAATGCTAGGTGCTCTCCACACAGTTTCACTCATCAGCTGTAAATAAACCATGCCAAGCAAAGAACAGCTTGCAATTAAGTATTAGGTGTTATTGCATTACTCTTGTCAGAACATTAAAATGCTTTTCTTCATAGTACGGCTCTGTAGAGCTGTCTTCATGTTTAAAAAAAAATAATAGTCCTGTCACAACTTCAGGATACTAACCTCACAAGTTTGAAGAGAACATATTTCAGAGACAAACGCTATTCCAGATTAAAGTCCGGCAGAACGGAAATATATCTACTTGTCAACCATGCTCGGAACTATCCCAGCCATGCTTGAGGGCACTGAGGAATTCCGATTCATTCACTGGGAAGGAGCCACCAACTGTGTTTGGTTGCAAGCCACAAAAATAACTGTATTGCAAAGATACCCATCCACAGACTAAGTCCTTCACAGCAAACAGGAATCCCTTGATTTCTGCAAACAGGATAGCACATCCACCAAAAGAACTTTCGTTCCTGAAGAGGATGAAATACAGCTAAACCATTTCTTCTTGACTTCTGCCTCTAACATAAGTCCCCATATCACCAGCTGGTGAATAGCTTCATCTTCTATCGTTCTTCCAGCAGAAGTTTCCAAGCACAGCTACATGCTGGACAGACCACAGCCTTGCAATGAGCTAAGCTTACAACCAGGCTTGCTAGTGCACAAGTCCAGCTGGCTCTAGGCGTCACCTCCTCCAGATGTTTCCCTTTCTAACACAGGGAGTTCCCTGCAAATCACTTGCACTTAATTTATTCTCTAGTGAATATATAAGACCTTCTCCACTCTTAGTGAATGCTAACTCAAAGCAGTATTTTAGGAAAAATTCAGATTTTTTATGTGACAGCAGCCAAGACCATTCTGCAATACAAGAACAGTGTTTAAATAAATGGCACAGTTCAGTTTTATTCTAAAATATTTGCTAGATTCAATTCTGATGAATTAAGTATCAAGACTTAAAGCACAACAGCAAGGAAAAGTTATTGCCTAATGAATCCTCCTTAACGAAGTCTTCTCCCTTCACTTTATTTTAAATAAACTCTAAATGTTCATCACTGTGGTAATTCCAGGGTTTTATTTCTACTTCTAAAAATACTGTTCTCAGTTAAAGGAGCAACACTAAGGATCATTAGTTTCAAATTCTAACTCTATTAGTAGAGTGTAACTAGGAGGCCATGTGTGGAATGCAGATCTTGTGACTCAGCATATGCTGCTTTTCAGAATTCGAAAGGTCAAGCCAAGCAGGGCTGCCTTCGTCTACAAAGCTGTTGTGAGAGCTCTTACCAGTGGCCCACTTTGTAGATCACTTACAGCTACATCTGCTTTGCACAAACGAGCACTATTAAACACACAAAATCCTAATGTAATTACCGACCACTGCTATTTTAGTGATACTTCAGGTCACTTCTGAGGTTTGACCCTATTCTTTAGGCGTATAATGCAAGAACATCTGTTCCAAAGCTCAGCAGGCGAGTTAAATATAGCTTACACAGCACTCTTCTGGCACAGAAGTTTAAGGTCAGGTGAGAAGCATGCATATCACGCAGGGTAACACTTTCTTGGTGCATAAGAGGTCACATGCCCTTTAGAAAAGTATTCTGTTTTCAAGGTTGTCAGCTGAAGCTGAATGGCACCTCTCTATCTGCTCACTGCTCCACCACCAGGCAGCTGGATGCCCTGTCTAAAACTTTGACACAGAATATGCTAAGAATCTACTTTAGTTTGCTTTAAAAAAAAAAAATCTGTAATAAATCCTCCACAGAGAATTATAAAAATAATACATGGTACCAGTGAGCATATGATATAAACTATTTAAGTCAACCAATTAGGTTTAAAGTTCATTGGACATAAAAGGCAACGGGAGCAGTAAGGCAAGGAATGAGCGAACCGCATCCAATTATCACCAGAAAATATTTTTGCTTGCACAAAAAGCCACAACCATTAAGAGTTTTCAACAGAGAACAATTATTTATACATCTGTAACAGAGAGAATGAGTGCACATGCTGAACTTGTTTTGCAAACTCTCTGCAAGCACTGCTGAACTACCACCCTTTACACATAAAGGCTGTTTGCCTTTAATTTTTTTATATATCTTTACATACACGCGCACAAACATTCCCTGCATTACTGAATGTATCAAGACAGTTTTTAAACATACAAAAGAAAATAAGGATGCTACCAAGACAGCTACATTTCTAAATTTTTTGGTTAATTAAGAGAAGATTACTGCTGGCAAATTTGTTGTAGAAGCTGACAACAGATTTAAGCAACCTTGACTAAGTAACATAGACTGGTATGTCTAGGTAACACACAACACAGATCCAATTTATATATTTTTGCTCTCTTACCAAGTAAAGGTACTTTGTTCTGCAGCAGCTCACAATAACCTGCGGTGAGAATCCCAACAGGATTACTTGGTACAAACCGTCCTTCTTTTACTAAACGTTCACATGTTCGCATTAGAGTCCCTGAGAACTGAGAAGGGTCGACCCCATAGTCTCTCCAGCCACCTACACCATCTGCTACCCCTAGAAGAAAACAGAAAACTAGAGTTATACGAACAGAAATGGCTTTCAAAATGTTTTTAATTTTTGACATCACTTATGATATTCAGTAACTAAAAAGTAGGACATAGCCCCTGCTTGAAAAACATTTTTGATTAAGAAAAAATTTCTAAGCATTTGCAAGATAACTTCTGACATCACCTCCTAGACAAGTCTCTAAATACAATCTGAATTGCTGAAGAAAAGGTAAAAGTCTAATGCTGAGAACTCTGAGAGGAGGCTGACTTCACTACAGAACAACTAATGGGGAATGAGGAGGATTCCATCACATTAACCTTTGATTAGCCCCTTGAAAAGGAAGAAGAGTTTTTATTAGTTTTAAATAGGATAGAATGATAAAGAAACTCTTCCTCACTGTTCAGCAGCCCAAAGTTTTTTTCTCAAGCTACTTGCTCACATGAAGGACAATGCTTTCTCTTTGGTAGTATCAATTTCTGTAGAAACTAAACTGCCATTTAAAAAGTGTGTTCAAAATAAAACATGTAACCAACACAAAGCTGGGTCCTACCCCTGCAAGGATAGTTGGTTGCTTACAGCTTCAGCCAAGCAAGGGCATGAAAACTGACTATGATCGAGTCAATTTTCATTCATTCAGTTATTCTAAACAACCTAGATATCAGAAAACCAGACCAATTCTGCCACAGCCTGGGAAGTTTCTGAGCAACCACAGAGGCAAATAGTGAAGATGCGCATAGAAAGTGGGGGGGGGGACACCATCAGAGGGAGAGAAGCAGCAGATATGACATTCTGCTGGCCATTTGGCTAAAGCATTTTGAACTTCCTCAATTAGCTTTAACAATAAAAGTAAAATACTGTCCAAATGTACTGAGATAAAAGTATTTCTACTTGGAATTTTTTAAAAAAAAAAAAATCTTTCTCCTCCTCAGCATGTAAGGGACTAACCATTTCAAGCACAGGTTTCTGTAACTTAATAAACTACTACGTTCACGACAAAAGCATGAAGAGCTAATTTCAGAGTTCAGACTGTGATGAAGAACAACAGTCTCCTTGGGAAAAAAAGCTGCTATTAGCAAAGGCATGAAAATTTGACTGAGAAAGTGAAACTAAGTTTGCCTCATCTACAAATGCCCTTCACATGGGACACCACCTGAAACTGAGACGGAAGGTTTAGAGTCGACCTTGGCACGAACTATAATCTGCCAGGAGGTTATAGCCCGATTCTGAACAGCCTATCAACATTAATCAGATTTCTCCCAAAAATAGTGCACAACCTTTCAGACACCTGCTTTGTCCATTTGCTTTCTTAGAAGAACGTTATGGGAAGGCAGATCCCTGTATTCACCTCTTCAGACCAGACGCTGGGGAAGAAGCTCATGCAAAAGCAACCCTGGCATTCTGGTTTCTCCAAGAACAAACTAATCCTCTCCTTACAGGACCCAGAACTTCAGGTTAATACTGGATAAACCCTTTGCTTTCTGCTGCCGTGCAAACAAGTCTAGAATAAGAGATTAGTAAGAACAAGTTCTAGATAGAGAAATTGAAATAGAAACTAAGCTTCAGTTCGGACGATGATGCTTGCTTTACATGAAGTAACCAGACGAGCGGCTTTTTTCCCCTTATGATGAACACAATCCAGATAATGCTTTTGCTAGCTGAATACAGCATTGCTTCACTGACAACAGGGTTAATGCAATGAAAAGATGATGTTTGAGAAGTACTGTCCAAAGCTTTTGGCTACTAAGGTGATTACAAAACACGCTCAAAGTTGCAGAGTTCCCTCAAGCAATCAGTACACCATTTTTGCATTAGTCTTCTTGGGAAACATTTAAACAGAAATACAACTAGTATACAGCACCAGAAAGCTGTCATAGCAAGCACTTGATAAAGTCAATTATCAAAGCCTATTTCAATTTTTAAAGCAAAAATAAGAGTATGCCACCTGATTTTCTTTACTCACTCCTTACTCCAGGCAGGAAATCTGAATCCATAATCATGGCAGCACACTTCATACTCTATCTTGAGCCATGAAATGGCTTTGTCTGTCTGCCTTCCTGTCTGCTTTTTGCAGGCTATAAACAGCTTTAAGTACATTCTACCCGCGCCTTCCAAAACAATCGTCCTCTAGACGGTCCACAAGTAGGTCCTCTGACTTAGCTTTGTACCATACCCAAGAGAACAGATTGTCTGCTTAAGAATCAACATGACAGTTGCGCGGTCCTTCTCCACCACTGGCAGAGAAGCAAATGGGACCACTGCATTCAGGAGCGGACCCCCAAGTATGCTTCCACTGTAACACCTCCACAACACCTCATCAGCTCACTAACTCACATACCACCACTGCCATCTATTTCTTGTCCTTGCCCAAAATGGACAATGTGGTTTTTTTGCAAAGGTTTGGGGGTTTTTTCCTTTTTTTTTTTTTAAACTGTGTCTCTTAAAGAGGATAGGTCAGTTCATTTAATTTAAGCTAAATGACCTTGTTGGCTCCCAAAGCATGGTTCACGAACACTGCCAGAGCAGTCAAATGCTTCCTCCTGCTCCGGCACAGAGCCAGGAATTACTGCTGCCATTGAGATCAGTCACAGCACATGGGCAAAGCACATTCAAGAAGCCCTATACCACACAGTGCCACCTAGAAAACATCCACCTTTATTGGTTTTGCCTTAAAAGAAGATTTTTACGTTCCCTAAGATCTTTAGCCATCCTGTCCTACCTTCAGCATGGTTTTAAAATAAGAACAGTATCTTTACATTCTACATTCTCAACATAAACTAAACAGTTTCATGGAAAAGGAATATGTGATTTTAAAACAGATTGAATAAACTGCTACTGAAATAGATGAAACATAAATAGGAATAAAGTTTAAGAAAACTTTGTGGTATTTGATATACAGCAAACAAGGAGTAAAACTATTTGTGAGAGATTTCAAACTCCAGCAGTAGCAAGAACTGAAGACTCAACCCATAAAAATGACTAAATTTTGTGTAATAGCATGTTTTCTCTCTGTCACCAATGGAAAATTCAAAGGTACTGCCATTGGCAGTATCACTGCCAAGGAATAATGCCAAATTCTGTTCATTTAGATTATCTTTGTTTTCATCTAAGACAAAAAAACCAACCCTGTCACTATTCAAAATAACTACTGTTTTATCAAGTAAAAAAAATGATTATTCAGGTTTTTATTTTCTTATATTTCATCACAAAACATTAAATATTGTCTTCCAGTATCCACCGTTTAACTTAAAATAACCATCTTACAAAATAGGAATCACAGGACATTTAAGACAAACTGCATGGCTGAGAAGAATTGCTGAAATTGAACTGTACGTAATACGTGGTATTTTCTAAACTATTCAGTATATCAGAAAATTTTATAGAAAGATATTTTTTAGATATACCCTGTTCAAGCCTATACAGAAATTACACAAATGTCCATGTGACATAGTGAAATACCTGTGGCTAGATGAACAACCATTATAAATAAAGCATTTCATAATTTCACAATAAATTACTTCAAAAGAATAAATGCTTCTCAAGTATTTAACTATATTATGGAGACCTTTGAGAACCTTTGAGTTAACACTCCACTACATTGCCTTCTGCTGGAAAATGCACAAATGCTACTGCCAGATTAAACACTCACTCCATGTGTCGGTCCAAAAACTGGCTCTTTCTAATTTCTTAAAGATTCAGTGTATCAAGATCTCTCATAGAGAGACAGTGGTAATGAAGTCTCAAGACAAAGTACAAGCGACTGATGCTGCAGCACTGAAACTGAGCAAGCAAAGATACTGGCACTGAAACTTGTTAAAATTTATTTCAAAATGCTAAAAGCACCTGGGATAAAATACCAGTTGAAATGCAAATGTAAAGTTGTCCTGACTGCCAGCACCTAAGTTTAACTGCAGAAGCCCAGGGAACAGCCAGCCAGTGCTAAGACTAGTAATATGTGCTTTTCACTGCAGACTTTTAAGTCAGATCCAGATGTTCTATCTAGTTCAGAGCAAATAAAAACTAAACAGGCTTAAAGTTCAGAACAAAATCACGATACTAATCAAACCCTGTTTAACATAAGTAGCATTGTAGTTCTGGCTAGCTGGCAAACCAACCTGCCCACAGAGTCCAAAAGTATCACCCTGTCTCAAAAATCTCTTGAAAGACGGATACTTTCAAACATTGCATCAGCTAAGAATAATAATCACATACAGAAGCACCAGGCAGGCA